AATCGTGCAACAAGTGAAACAAATTTATTATTACGAAAAAAAACTGTAGAAAATAATATTAAAAAACATTATCAATCAACAGATAATATTTGTATTAATACAAAACAAATTCCTATTCCAACAATTCAAAAAGAATCAATCAATGAATTAAATCAAGATCATGATGCACTTAAAATAGCTATTCTAGATATATTTGGTTTTGAAAATTTTTCAAGAAATAGTTTTGAACAATTATGTATTAATATTGCTAATGAACAAATTCAATATTATTTTAATCAACATGTTTTTGCATGTGAAAGACAAGAATATATCAATGAAAATTTAACTGTTTTACCATTACCAGCTAAAATGGATTTTACATTTTATGATAATAGACCATTACTTGATATGTTTCTGAATAAACCGGTAAGTTCGAGGAGGCAATAAAACTTAACTGATTGACTAGGTAGAAATCTTTTGAATCTCCTCAAATATTATATTGTAAAGTGTTCTTTAATCCAACATTGGCTTTTTTGAATAACAAATATGCCATCAGTCGAGTCAACTAGAGCAATTAAGTACTTTTCTCTCGATAGGAGGAGTAGCGATCTACTAATGTCTTTTCATTGAGAGTAGAAAGCAATCAAATTTTCATTCCAGTTCAAACAGTACAGAATATAACAATGAAAGTGCAATAGGTCACACTATTATTGCTTCAAAGAAAGAAAAGAAATAAATTGAATAATCTTATTTAGGTTGGAATATTAGCATTAATCGATGAAGAAAGTCGTTTTCCGAAAGCAACTGATTTTACACTTGTCGATAAATTAAATGCAAATTTTTCCAATTCTCCATTATATATTCGTTCGAAATCGAGTTTTTCTTCGAGTTCAATATCTTCATCATCATCTTCAACACATCAATCAATTCCATCATTTTCAATAATTCATTTTGCTGGTCAAGTTCAATATGATGCACGTGGTTTTCTTGAAAAAAATTGTGATTATTTAGCACCAGAAATTATACAAGTTTTACATTCATCACATGTACAATTAATTAGTTCATTATTTCAATTACCATCATCAAAAAGTAGTACATTACAAGAAAATATTAATCATCGTTATACTACAACAACAACGGAATCAAATTTAGATTTAACTAATACATTAATACCATTAAATGCTAGTCCTAATCGTGTACAAGCAACAGTTAGTACTTATTTTCGATATTCATTAACAGATCTTTTCTCAAAAATGGTTCATGGTTCACCAAAATTTGTTCGTTGTTTTAAACCAAATAATGATCGAATTCCAGGTTGTTTTGATTCTCAAACTGTTCTTGAACAATTAAAATATAGTGGCATTTTAGCAGGTTTGTATTGAAAAGACATACATCGTAATCTCTCACTTATTGCGTTTATAAGAAGACTTAGGGATGCAACGGTAACGATTAATCGGTCAACCGGTGAAGTTCTGAAACGGTAACCGTTCAGATCGATTACGCGGTAAAACCGATTAAACGGTGAAGCGATAACCGATCGAACGGTGACGACTAATCGGTCTTCACCGTGGGTTTTAAAGCGTCTGCCGACTTTCACTGTTAGACCGATTAATCGGTGACGGTGAACCGATTATTGATCGTTACCGTTACATCCCTAAGAAGAATAGTTATGTTACTATTTAAGATTTGTCTCAGGAGACTTTTTTTTATTAATTCTCTTAAAAGGTCATTCGTCTTTTTTTCATAGCGGCAAAAATTCGTCGTTTTGGTTATTCTCATCGTATACCATTCGCAAATTTTATTCAACGTTATTCAATACTTGTCTATCCGGCAACAACAGATTTACCGTTAACACGTGAAACATGTGAACATATTTTACATCAATTAAAAATGCAAAATTGGACAACTGGTTTGTAGTATTTATTTTTTAAAACAAAAACACATTCTTTCTTTTTTCAATTAAGGAAAAAGTAAAGTATTTTTAAAATATTATCATGCTGAACAATTAACACAACTCTATTCAAATATTATCAATGGTATTCTAACAATTCAATCTTATGTTCGTATGTATTTAACACGTTCATATTTAAGACATCGTCAATATAAACATCCGAATGATATGATCATACAAGAACTTCATCGTCATCCAAAATTTTCACGAGTTTGTTTTTGAATATTTTTCTTTTAAAATCAATTAAATTTATTTTCTTCTCTATAGTCAACTAATGATGATGAACAAGCAAAAGAAAAAGCAATTATTTATGTTCAATCATGTATTCGTGGTTACCTTCAACGTCGTCATTTTTATCAATCATTAAAAAAACCTTTAACATATGAAGCAGCAGCTATTATCATCCAAAAATGTTATCGAGGTTTTCATTATCGTAAAGTTTATTATGCTTATAAACAACGTTTAAATATTCAAATGCTTTGTTTTCTACAACAAATTGATTTAATCAATAATGATTTTTTCATGAAAGTTGTTCGAACAAATTATTGTGTACCATTAAAATCAATAATAAATTCTTCAATTAATAATAAACATATTCAATATTTTTTTCCACCACCACCACCATTACCATTACCTTCAATTGTATCACATTCGGATGTATCAACTCCAATAAATATATCATCAATACCTCCTCCACCATTATCATCATCATTTGGTTTTTCTCCATCTCGTCATCAATTAATATTAACACCTCGTTCAAATCGTTCTCCATCACCAACATCATCTGTATCAAAATTTGCTCAAGTTCGAGATATGTTCGCTCGTGCTGGCGTAACAACAACAACAACAACTCATCATTCTATTCCGCAAAAAACTCCTCTTCAATCTGTTCATTCAATTTCAAATTTAGTCGAACAAAATCGTAATACAAAATCTGCAACTGTTTTAAATGCTGTTCAAGAATATCAAAAACAACATATTAATCATCATCAACCAGCTATAAAACGTTTTAATCAATTCAATAATAATGCAATTTCAAATATCAATCGTTCATCAAATATCTTAGGATTACGTTCTCGTGCTATTGGATTAAATAATAAATTTCCAAATAAACAAAATCTACCAGCCTATGTCACAACATCACCTAAACAACAACCAAAACCAATTACACGGGTATTTTTTTGAACTTAGAAAACTATGTCTAATATGATTGACAAATTTCACTTTATCAAATCTAAGATTTTATTTCCTGTCGGATATGAAAAAAAAATTCAGTTCACATTTTTTATTTAAAGAATAATATCGAAGTTTGAAGTATTTCCTAATGTAAAAATAATAAACTTCATGTAAAAATGTCTTTTTAAAATGTAATTATGTAGGTTTCTTTTTTTGAACACCTACGCTTAAATTATTTGAACTTAAAAACCCCGATTCGAATTTTTTAATTCTATTTTAGGAACCATCGATGTCTACACAACCAAAATATGCATTTCATGTTTTACTTCGTAAGACTGGTCAAGATTTAAGTACTGGACAAACATTAACTAAACGTCAAGTAATAAATGAAACAAAACAAATTGATTTTCGTAGTGTATTAAAATCACGGCATACATTAAATGGTACAACTGATAATGAAATAATCGTTCGATCGAATAGTTTATCACAACATATAAATTTCGATAATCGTATACGAATGAATGATCTTTAAAAAAAACATATCGCTAATGATGTATATAGATCCGGTGTGAATATATTATTTGCTAACATTATAATTTCTCTTTTTCTATTTATTAATAAATATATGTGTGTGCGCTTAGTTAAAAAATTTCAGTTAAATATCTTCTTTGTTTTGTTATTTGTGATTCTTCTTATTACATTAAGATATTTATAATTAATAAAATACATTTATAATTATAATTTACAAGATGATATTTATTCATCCGGGTATAAAATAATATGGAGTGCAAGGAAAAAACAAAACGCATGATTCTGATTCATTTATCATATGGAAATCCTGACTTAGATGTTATATATTGTTACAAACACATATGATCATTTGCTGACGAAGATAATAATATGTTCTTATCTTTTATGATTATATTGTCGAGTCTTAATATATATATCGGACTGTGTATATCCACATCTGTGTTTCTATTAGTT